TAGAGAACAGGTAAAAGGTATGACTGGAGAAGAACAGGTAAAGTTATAACTAGTAGAGAACAGGTAAAGTTATAACTAGTAGAGAACAGGTAAAGTTATAACTAGAAGATAACAGGTAAAGTTATAACTAGAAGAGAACAGGTAAAGGTATGACTAGAAGAGAACAGTAAAGTTGCTTTACCTGTTCTTCTCCAGTCATACCTTTACCTGTTCTCTTCTAGTTATACCTTTACCTGTTCTTCTCCAGTCATACCTTTTACCTGTTCTCTACTATTTATAACTTTACCTGTTCTCTTCTAGTTATACCTTTACCTGTTCTCTACTAGTTATAACTTTACCTGTTCTCTACTAGTTATAACTTTACCTGTTCTCTTCTAGTCATACCTTTTACCTGTTCTCTACTAGTTATAACTTTACCTGTTCTCTTCTAGTCATACCTTTACCTGTTCTCTACTAGTTACAACTTTACTGTTCTCTTCTAGTCATACCTTTACCTGTTCTCTTCTAGTCATACCTTTACCTGTTCTCTACTAGTTAGTATGACTAGAAGAGAACAGGTAAAGGTATGACTAGAAGAGAACAGGTAAAGTTATAACTAGAAGAGAACAGGTAAAGTTATGACTAGACCTGTTCTCTACTAGTTATAACTTTACCTGTTCTCTACTAGTTATAACTTTACCTGTTCTCTTCTAGTCATACCTTTACCTGTTCTCTACTAGTTATAACTTTACCTGTTCTCTACTAGTTATAACTTTACATGTTCTTCTCCAGTCATAATTGCGTTCCAGTAGAATTTTACTGTTTGTGATAACAATGTTGGACATTTTTGTACATTGTTGTTGACTTGCTCTAAGTTCCAAGCTTAAAACAATAATTGTATAATTTGTTTCTAACAAACTTCCACAAGCGTCAGTTTGTGTATGTATATGATATATATACAATATTAGAAATGATTACAATAATTATAGAAACGGTGAATAAAATTGATAAACAATTCAAATATTATGGAATTGCTCTCTCTGTATTGTGTGAAAATAAATTGAGCCAGAGTATATTTAGGTTTTGTTATTTACACTGCAACTGGCTGTCATTCAACCAAACAGACCGTGTCACACCAGCATAATACATATTACAGTACACGAGGTTATACTATTCCCAGTAGTACTGTGGTGAATATCTTAGTGACCCCTATGAAAGAAACACCACATGACAGACTGTGCCACACCAACCTAATACATATTACAGTACAGTAGGTTATACTATTCCCAGCAGTATTGTGGTGAATACCTTAGTGACCCCTATGAAAGAAACAGCACATGACAGACTGTGCCACACCAACCTTATACATATTACAGTACAATAGGTTATACTATTCCCAGCAGTATTATGGTGAATACCTTAGTGACCCATATGAAAGAAACACCACATGACAGACTGTTCCACACCAAAATACCTTTTCGCTTTTACTATGTATTATCCTTCGGTGGGTCAGAGATAAGTTTCCGGACTTACAACTCCAGATTCCTGGTTCGATTCCCTGCAGGTAACATTGCATTAGGAAAACAAACAAACGTATTTCTTGTAATAATGTATTTTATTAATGATAAATTAATTATTTAGCTGCAGTTACTTAGTGTTTGTATATGTATCTCCTTCTCGTGTTCCCATAATACGTTCAAATACTCTCTTTTATAAAAACTGAATGAGTTATGAATATCTAAATCTATTACTACGTTTGCTATTAAGTTTACGACAGGAATAATCCAAGTCTGAGGACAAAAACATCCAAAAAGCTGACAACCTTGAACGCTCCCTTACTCGCTCGTGTTAAATGGGATACGATGATTGTAGCGTTCAGTAGAAAATTCTGTTTGGATGGATCCGGTTCTCGTGACTTTGGCAACCACCAAGGTTCTCTGAGCTACCGTTGGAGTTGTAGCATTGACGGACAGATAGGTTGTTATGAAAGTGGCAGCGGTGGGTCCAGATTAGAGGATGTTCTTAAAAATGAAGTGTTTTCACCTGTAATGTGTGTGCCTGGAGGATTACTACCTCCTGCACGGTGAGTGCTCATTTAAATATTGCCTCTTTTAACAATAATGCATTAAAATCTTAGTATTCCGAAAAGTGTTTACTTTCAAAGTCTAAGTTCAAGGGAGGTCCAGTTCAGTTTATACTTTGATCAACGTGTGTTATTGGATTATAATAGTTTCGGAGAATTCCACTCCTCATCAGTAACCCTGAACACAAGTTAACCAAAGAGAGAGAGATAAGCTGGACCTACATCAAAGTGAAAAGTATCAAACATATTGTTGGTGTGAACGTGCTTTATAGTCACTATGAGAAAAACCTATACACTGGATAGGAGAAGTGAAGAAAAAGTGTCTTTGACTACTACTCAGTTCTTTACATTATATAGTCACACAACAGAAGATATAATAAATAAACTTAGTATTCCGAAAATTGTTTAATCTCGAAGTCTAAGTTTAAGGGAGGTCCAGTTCAACCTACACTTTGATCAACGTGTGTTATTGGGTTACAATAGTTTCGAGAATTCCACTTCTCATCAGTAACTCTGATAATGTGAAGAACTGAAAAGTGGCCAAAGACAGTTTTTCTTCACTTCTATCCAGTGTATAGGTTCTTCTAATAGTGACTATAAAGCACGTTCATACCAACAGTATGTTTGAATAATAATCAGAGATATATTTAGCACTTAATTTAAAAAAAGTTAATAAAATTAAAGAAATACGAAAAGGAACTTTCTTGTACCTAGTGCAGGTCGTATTGAACTTGCTTGTACCTAGTGCAGGTCAAGTTCGTATTCAAGGAGTTAATAATTATAGCTTTCTAACACAAAAACAAAAAACTGTTTCTCTGCAAGAAGTTTCTTTCAATTATAGCACCAGAAACAAAATTCGTATTAAATGCATACTTGTTCTCTTTTAGTTACACATTTACCTGTTCTCTTCTAGTCATACCTTTACCTGTTCTCTTCTAGTCATACCTTTTTTAACGAGTATTTTTATTAGACAGTGATTTAGAACAGTTATTTAACGAGTATTTTTATTAGACAGTGATTTAGAACAGTTATTTAACGAGTATTTTTATTAGACAGTGATTTAGAACAGTTATTTAACGAGTGTTTTTATTAGACAGTGATTTAGAACAGTTATTTAAGGAGTGTTTTTATTAGACAGTGATTTAGAACAGTTATTTAACGAGTATTTTTATTAGACAGTGATTTAGAACAGTTATTTAACGAGTATTTTTATTAGACAGTGATTTAGAACAGTTATTTAATGAGTATTTTTATTTGACAGTGATTTAGAACAGTTAATGACTATTTTTATTTGACGGTGATTTAGAACAGTTAATGAGTATTTTTATTAGACAGTGATTTAGAACAGCAGTGCTTTATAAAGAAAAGCGTTAGTTTTTTTTTTGTTTTGTTTTTTGTGTTAGATTTAAAGAATACAATTTTAAATTGATCTGTATATCTTCAATTTTCAGTTTTTGTGGAAAATCCTCCCACCAGATGTCGTCCTGCCTTCTGAATGGGGCTCAACACTGGTTATACCCCGATATCTGATGGAAGGGAGAAAAATATATTCTCTGCATTTAAGAGGTAGAAATAAATATTAAAAAATAAATTAAAAACTGTTGAGAGGAAAGTTGAGATATCCTATCAGATATTAGTTTATTTAAATTGGCTACAAAGTTATAACGTATAACAGACTTACAAAATCCCTTCATTTAGTTCTCTTGAACTTAAATGTTAAAACCAGTGTAAAAATAGGTGAAAGTTGATTTTAATGACTGATTACTCTAACCAAGGAATTCAAGTACGTTCCAGTAGAATTTTACTGTTTGTGATAACAATGTTGGACATTTTGTACATTGTTGTTGACTTGCTCTAATTTCCAAGCATAAAACGTAACTGTTCTAAATCACTGAACGAGTATTTTTATTAGAAAATAACTGTTCTAAATCACTGTCTAATAAAAATACTTGTTAAATAACTGTTCTAAATCACTGTCTAATAAAAATACTTGTTAAATACCTGTTCTAAATCACTGTCTAATAAAAATACTTGTTAAATACCTGTTCTAAATCACTGTCTAATAAAAATACTCGTTAAATAACTG